GACGAAAAGGAGGAGGAGGAGGAGGAGGAGGAGGAGGAGGAGGAGGGGAGGAGGAGGAGGAGGAGGAGGAGGACGAGGAGCAGGCCCCCCTCCAACTCATGGTGGTGGTGGTGGACAACAAGCCCATCGCACCCGATGAGCAGGGCAGGCGGCCCGCCGACGCCCCCCGGGGCTCGCGGCGCCTCCTGGCGGCACTCCCGCCGCGAGGGGCGGCACGGCCGCCCGGCGCGCGGGGCTGCAGACCACCGGGGGGCCCAGGCCCGCAGCGTGCGCGGCGAGCTCGGCCACGGCGCCCTCGCTGGGGAGGCGCAGAGAGGCTCGGGCTCGGGGGGCTCGGGCCGGCCCGGCGGGGGCTCCTCCGGAAAACGGCGAGAGGCCCCACCCGGAATAGAAATTGGCGCGGGCTCCCGCTGCAGACGTCCCACGAGAAGACCGGAGCCGCCAGAATCCAGACCCGGACCTTTTTGTCCCCCGCTTCTGTCAAAATGTGTTCTGCTTTGAATTGCCGTGATGTTTTTCTGGTTGCTGTTTCGGGTTGCCGTTGCTCGCTCGTTCTGGGCTTCGCTGGTGCCGTCTTTGTTATGCGTTGGGCTGCCATTTGTTATGTAGTTAGCTATGTGTTGGTCGACCACCGCAACACGAATAGTTGAAAAACGGAAAAAAAAAAACAGACCCGGCGTTTTTCAGAACATCTGCTCTTAGGTCGGGCATCTCCCCCCTTACAGGCGGCTGTTGGACGAACAGTTCGAAATAGCCTGAAAAAGATCCACACGTGCTCAAACATAGTCGAAGATCGTGCCCAGATTTTTTGTTTTGACTATTCTTGCTGGGTAGTCGAAGCCAATCTGGCGCCAATCTGGCAGGCCCAATCTGGCAAACGGGGGCAATCTGGCGAGGGAGCCAACGCGAATCCAGTCTGGCGAGTAACCCAAACCATCCAGCTTGGCCGGGCCAGATTGGCCCTTGGGGCCCAATCCAATCTGACAGTCTGGCCTTCGACTACCCAGTCTTAAATGTTCCTCCTGTAGAGGGACATGTGAAACAGGGCTAGGATCGGAATAAAGCGCTCCAGAGCGTTCCGGAGCGCCCTCAGAGCCTTCCGGAACGCTCTGGAGCGGCCGCGGCGCCCACTACATCCTCCACAACCCGCCGACTCTCAGAGATCTCGGGTTGTCCCGATCCGATGCTGTCCCGATCTTCGCGTCGTCTTAACACGCCCGACTTCGATCTTCTCGAGTCCTCGGCCGAGGAGGAGCCTCCTCGTCGTCGTCGTTGTCGTCCTCCTCCTCGTCGTCGTCGCCGTTGTGCGCTGTCGCCCTGTCGTCGTCGAGGCCGCCGTCGTCGGCCTCGTCGCCGGCGGAGCTGAGGCCTCGGCACTGCCCCTCGCCGCGGCCTCCGCGGGCGGGCCCCCTGCTGGCGCTCGGGCCCGACCTCGGCCGAGGGCCCCTCGCCCGGCTCGTGGAGGAGCCTGCGGGCGGCCAGCTGCCCCCAGCGGGCCCGCCAGCGGCGCGGGGCGCTGGCCCCGCTCGGCCACGGCCTCGGCCGAGGGCCCGCGGCGTGCAGCCCGTCTCCACCACCGGTGTGCCGCTGCGCGTCGGTGCGCTCCACGTCGGTGTACGGCACCCGCCCCGACAGCACCTCGTTGAGGCCCACGCCGAGGGCGAGGACGTCGGAGGCGAAGGAGCACGCGCGCCGCTGCGCGTACCACTGCTGGGGGAAGAGGTTGTACGCCGATATCAGCTCGGGCGCCACGTACTGCGGCGTGCCCTCGAAGCGCCGGCGGGGCCGCGACGCGGGGGCCGCCCGTGTGCTTGGGGGGCGGACCCCGCAGCTCGTGCAACGGGGCGGCCAGCTCGAGGTCCGACAGCCTCCCGACGCGGTCCTCTGGGACGCACAGGAGGCACACTAAGACTGTATGTCATCATTGGAGGCGCGCGTCCGACCCAGACACGTAGCACATCCATCTTGTAGCATATCCTTTTCCCCGTGCGGCGTGGCTGGAACGCGCGCCCGCCACGACGCATGTACTGTCAGACTTCTCGGTGCGCGCGTCTCCCCTTGGGGGGGGGCGACGCACACACAGTATTAGTGTATTGGGGTGGCGCCGATCAGCATCAGCATCACCATAATCAGCAGCAGCATCCTGGACATCATCATCATAATCAGCACACTCATCAGCAGTATCGTCATCATCATCATCATCATCATCATCATCATCATCATCATCATCATCATCATCATCATCATCATCATCATCATCAACCTCATCATCAACCTCATCATCAACCTCATCATCATCATCATCCTCATCAGCTTCATCACCAGCATCATAATCATTATCAGCATCATCATCATTATCATCACATTCATCGTATTCATCATCATCAGCATCCCCATCCACCTCAGCATCACCCAGATCAACCCCATCATCACCATCATCAGCATCCTCATCCTCATCCTCCTCATCATCATCATCATCATCATCATCATCATCATCATCATTATCAACATATTCATCGTCATCGTCATCGTCATCATCCTCATCATCCTCATCACCATCCTCATCATCATCCTCATCATCCTCACCGACCAGGACGTTGGCCGGCTTCACGTCGCAGAGCACCACGCCCGCGCGGTGCGCGGCCGCCACTCCGGCCGCGCAGTCCGCGGCCAGGCAGAGGCGCCAGGCCGCGCTGAGGAGCGGCCCCGCCGCGCCGTGGACCACCTCTGGATGGTCCGATGTGCCCACCACCACCACCACAGGTAGGAGCTGGCGGGGGAAGAGGACGCGTAGGAGGAGGAGGAGGAGGAGGAGGAGGAGGGGAGGAGAGAGGAGGAGGAGGAGGAGGAGGAGGAGGAGGGGGGACGCGTACGAGATGGAGATGAGGAGGGGAAAAAAAAGGGGGAGAACGCGTAGGAGAAAGGGGATGATGATGTGAGAGGCGGGAAAAAAGGGGAGGATGGAGGAGGCGGAGGGAGGATTAGGGGAGGAGAAGAGGAGCGGAGGAGGAAGGAGGGGGGGGGAGTAGGGGAGAGAAACGCGTAGGAGGAAACAAAAAAAAAAAACAAAAGAAAAAAAAACAAAACAAGAAAACGAGTAGAGGAGGATGATAAGGAGGCCAGTATAAACCCCAAAACCCAAAAGAAAGTGAGTCGCCACAACAGAAAAAAACGTGCTGGAATCCGCCGACCCTGTCGGCGAGTGTGAGGGGCTTTTCCGTTCGAGCCGTCATCTCCGTTATTATTTGTACTCGTCGTCTCTGTCCTTCCCTTTCCCTGGGAGACCACTTCCCCTGGGCTCCAGCCAAGCCGACCTTGAGCAACCTCGTAATTCAGTCGAAGGGAAGCCCCTTCCCTTTGATCCCTCCCCCGCCGGGAGAGGGGGGGGGGGTAGCGACCCCCCCCCCCCCGGTCAGATAACGACGCCCCCCCCGGGGACTCCTCTTCCCCTGGCTCCAGCCAACTCCTACCTTGAGCAACCCCGGCCCAAGCCGACCTTGAGCACCCGTAATTGATCGGGAAGCCCCTTCCCTTTGATCCCCCCCCGCCGGTAGTGGGGGGGGGTCGACCCCCCCCCCGGGTCAGATACGACGCCCCCCCCTGGGACTCCTCTTCCCCTGGGCTCCAGCCAAGCCGACCTTGAGCAACCTCGTAATTGAGTCGAAGGGAAGCCCCTTCCCTTTGATCCCTCCCCCGCCGGAGGGGGGGGGGGTGTCGACCCACCCCCGTGTTCAGGACCCCCCCCCTGGGACTCCCCTTCCCCTGGGCTCCACCAAGGAACGTCCTTTGGTCGAAGGAAGCCCCGTCCCGATCCCTCCCCCGCCGGGAGGGGTGGGGGGGTGTCGACCCCCCCCGGGTCAGATACGACGCCCCCCCCTGGGACTCCTCTTCCCCTGGGCTCCAGCCAAGCCGACCTTGAGCAACCTCGTAATTGAGTCGAAGGGAAGCCCCTTCCCTTTGATCCCTCCCCCGCCGGGAGGGGGGGGGGGGTGTCGACCCCCCCCCCGGGTCAGATACGACGCCCCCCCCTGGGACTCCTCTTCCCCTGGGCTCCAGCCAAGCCGACCTTGAGCAACCTCGTAATTGAGTCGAAGGGAAGCCCCTTCCCTTTGATCCCTCCCCCGCCGGGAGGGGGGGGGGGTAGCGACCCCCCCCCCCCGGGTCAGATACGACGCCCCCCCCTGGGACTCCTCTTCCCCTGGGCTCCAGCCAAGCCGACCTTGAGCAACCTCGTAATCTCTTGCTGCGCATTGCGAACAGGGTCGGCGGCACCGGCCGTCAGGCCTTCGCAATAAACCCTCCCACCAAACTCCCTCTTCATGGGCCCCTGAAACGGTTCATGTCCAATGAGGGAGCTGCCTCGTTGGAAGACCACCGTTTGAAGATCGTTCAGCATGCCAAAACCTTTTTTCCCGGCATTCGAACGCCACGGATCAAATTTACTGCTGCGTGTTGACAGTCCTGCATCGTGCCAGAACGCCATTCCTGGGACTTCAACACCGCGAATGAACATAACTGCTGCACACTCATAGTCTTGAATCCTTACAAACCGAATTTCTGGTACGTGGATCATGGGAGTCCGTACACTTCTTGCAGACTTAACAACCAAATGTGCGCGGCGCTGAGGCGAGAGCCACAGTTTGAAAACGAACTGCCCCCAATCAGTGCGACTCTTGTAAACTTTGACAACGAATGTACGCGGCGCTCATGCGAGAGCCACATGTTGAAAACGATTCGCCATCAATCTGCGAAGCTCTTGCAATTATGAAAGAAACGAACGTGCGCGGCGCTAAGGCGAGTCACATTTTGAAAACGGCCCGCCCTCCGTCTGTGAAGCTGCTGTCACTCTGTAAGCTTCAGGGTCGTAACTGGTGAGGCAGTCTCAAGCGAAACGCCCCGCCCGACCTAAAAACTGGCCTCGGGGTGCGACAGGGATAAATGATTCATAAGGATAAGGAATGGAGGAGGAGGAGGAGGAGGAGGAGGAGGCGGCGGAGGAGGAGGAGGAGGAACTCCCTATCTCCCCCGTCCCACCGTAGGAGGAGGAGGAGGAAGGAGGAGGAGGAGGAGAAGGAGGAGGAGGAAGGAGGAGGAGGAGGAACTCCCCCAGGAATGGAGGAGAAGGAGGCGGAGGAGGAGGAGGAGGAGGAGGAGGCGGAGGAGGAGGAGGAGGAGGAGGTGGAGGAGGAGGAGGAGGAGGAGGAGGTGGAGGTGGAAGATTGGGCCCTCGACCTTGTCCAGGGAGCCCCAGGTCTGGCAGAAGGGCAGCAGCAGAGCATACGTCGGCGCCTGGTCCACCGTGCCCAGCGGGCACAGCACGTTGTCGCAGCTCGCGGAGAGCGCGGCGAGGTGGCGGCGCTCCGCCTCGAAGCGCTGCCGAGAGCCGTCGCAGACCTTTCGGGAGCGGCCCAGAGGGGGGTGTCCAAGAGGGGGGGGTGCAAATCATGACCGGCGGCACGTGCGCGGCCCAGCGGGGGGGCCAGGGACGTAATGAAACAAGACGAGGCGCCATGACATCTGGGGAAAAAATCGTGGCCCCCGCCATGATATCCCCTCCCCCCTAGTCACCACCCCCCTCTTTGCCGCCCCCGATGACTACCTACCAAACCACCCCAACCCAACCCGAAGACCCGAATTTCGGGTTGGGGGGGTGTGGGCTCCATATGTGTTTTTTCGATGTTCCCGGACCCCCCCCACTGGAAATGGAGGGCAAAATGAGGCCTTCGGGTTGGGTTGGGGTGGTTTGGTGGGTGGTGACCCGAAGACCTTGAACCTCTTCATGACGGCCCGCCCCACGCCGGCCAGCTCCACCACGGAGATGTGGTTGCGCGGCGAGTCCAGCAGCACCACGCGCGCGTCCTCGGCCGGCACCCGGAGGTCGGCCGTGGAGACGAGCCTCTCGGCCGCCCGCGCCCCCGCGGCCGCGGCCCGCGGGGCACCGCCCTCGACCAGCTCGGCCGCCATGCGTGGGGCGAGCAAGGAAAACGGAGTGCCCCACGAGCTGGAATCCCACCAGCCAGCCCATTAGGGCGTGAGCGGTTTCGAGCGTTTCCTCTTCCAGACCCCTTTCTTCCCCGTCGGGGAAGGGTGTACCCCTCCGCCCAGCGCCTCCTCCAGACCTGGACGGGAAGTGTCGCGACCGCTTGGGGCGCCCATGGAGGCATCGGCCAGAAGGCAAAGATCATTGGTTTGACAGGTTATGGGCCAAGGTTGGCCTCCCTGGGTAGCGACGCTAATATGGTACCCCCCTTCTTTGATGCTCTCCTCCAAAATGGCCCCAATGTAGCCCCCAAGGCTCCCAAGCGTGCCCCGAGAGGGTCTCAAGAGGCGCCCAGGAGGCCCCAATAGGCCCCCAAGAAGTCCCCAAGAAGCTCCCGACAGACACCCAAGAGGCGCAAAGAGGCTCCCCCGAGGCACCCAAGACGCTCCGAGAGGCCCCTGGGACCGCCAAGAGGCCCCCTGGACGCCCCAAGAGAATTCCAAGAGCTCTCAAGAGGCATCCGAAGCGACTCCGAGAGGAAACTATCCAAGAGGCCTCTGGACTGTCTGCTCGGCCTCCTCCTCCTCCTCCACCGCCTCCTCCTCCTCCTCTTCCTCTTCCTCATCCGCCTCTTCCTCCTTCTACTCCCTCCTCCTCGCCCCGCTCCCCCTCCCCATCCTTCACCTCCTCCTCCTCCTCCTCCTCCTGCGATTACTCCTCCATCCTCCCCCTCTTGGGGTATGAAGGCCTCCCCAACTATTAATTGCACTGCATGGATCCCCTTATCCCTGATTATGGCAACTCGCTGGGGCATCGCTTCTGGATGGGCTGGTGGGTTTACGTGAAACGTCTGAGATAGGAATGATATTCCGTCTACTGGCCCCCCCTGTCACAGGAGCCTCGCAACGATCCCCCGTGCGGCTGACTCAAAACGATGTAAAAAACGACCCCTTCCGTTCACGGAGAACGGGTAAGTCACTGAATTCCAATCCATGGGTCAGAGCGCGCAGGAAAAGCGGCAGGCCGCGTGGAAAAAAACGCCGCGCGCGCTGCCCCGGAGCCCTCGGCCTCGCCTGAAACTCGAGCCGCAACATTATGACGATGTGTCAGGCAGCACGCCCTGCCAAACTAGGCCAGCCCAAGCGAAAGCAGGCCAAACCGGGGGCCGAACCCCAAATCTACCGAACCCCCCACAACCCAGCCCCGTCCAGTTTCCTTATTAAATGTACGCTCGATGGGTGAATGACCCTAATGGGGTCCACGGCAAGGGATACTGAAGTAGAATGTGATGAGGAAGGGCGCAACATCATGCGTGTGTCTGAGGCACAAAAAGCATACATGTGGTTTCTGTTTGTTGTTTGGGTTCTGGTATTGCGCTCGAATAAAGAATCCGACGGCTGTAATAAACGCGAGATTGCGCGATCCTTTTCCCTTATCTTGATATGCGCTGCGCGGCCGCGGCAACTGAGTACAATGACCGTCCAACACTGGCCCTGTTGACAACTGTGGGTGCTCAGGGACGCGGTGTGATGGCATGCCAGCGGCTGGGTTGACTGCTCTCGGATAGAACGTTCCCTGGTCCTCGTGCTCCGCGCGCTCTTCCAGTACCCCCTGCTGTTCCTGTTCCTGCTGCTCACCCATCCAACTCAATATGCCTGCTCCACCACCTCCAATGTAGTTACCAGAGGAATCCGTCCACGAGGCTACAGCAACCGATGGGCCACATTCTGCAACTGCCACTTCAATCTCAATATCCTTTACGAAACAGTCGCCGGAGGAATTGAACAACCCAATGATTCAATGCAATGGGGATGGATGTGGCGCGAGCGCGTGCATCTTGGCACTGCCCCGTGCCGACCGACTCCCCAACTTCCTCCTGCTCCTCCTGCTCCTCCCTTCCCTCTTCCCCTCTCCCCCACTGTCGCCTTCCCTTCCTGTTCTCCCCTCATGAAATCCTGATCCCGCCCCCCTTCCTGCTCCGCACTCAGTTACGCAACGCCACCAAGCGTCACCCACACGGCGCTCGCCGCGTCCGACGCGCGCCAGCGCGGCTGGGGACGGGGCGGGCCCGCCCTGCCCAAAGAGGGGGAGGAAGGAGGGGAAGGCCACCAACACTCTCGAACAGCACCTGAGGCCGCGGAGGGGGAGGAGAGGAGGGGAGGTGGGTGGAGCGACGGGGCCATTCAACCGAGGCCAGTGCACTTGCCGTAGATGTAGTACATTGGCGGTAGCAGCGTACACGGGGCATCTCGACTATAGCGAAGTAGACGTCCTCGTCGTCGCTCTCGAAAGCCTCGTGTCGTCGTAAAATTACTGCGTCATGGGTAGGCATGGGTCGTTGGCCTATGCGTATTCCGTTCTTGTGCGCGTCGTAGAGGGCGCGGACGGGCTAGAGCGTCTTAGCGGTTCCTGAGGGGCCCAGCGCGCGGACCATCGCGTCCCCGTCATCGTAGCGGCGGTCGCCGCTCGTCAATGGGCACAATCATGTCGTGGGGTTCGTTGTACGCGGGGTTCGTGATTTTCGATATGGCCCTGATGGCGAAGGTTTCTGTGATTGCCTGCCCCTCGGCGATCGCAGCCCTGAGGAAGTCCAGCCCCTGGAACGCGGCGTACATGACAAAGATGCGATTAACCTGCTCGTCGATCTCGTCGTCCTCTTCTCGTGGCCCGCGTAGCTCACTCAGCCGGTGGCTCTCGCGGCCCTCGCAACTCGGTTTCTTGCCTCCGTGCTTCGGCCGGTGGTCCTCGTATTTGTGTCGGGGGCTCCGGAAGTTCCGCTCGTGGACCGGAGATCAGCCGGTAGCGTTGGTAGCTCTGCAAGAGGCCCTGGCTGCTCAGCTCGTGTCCCGCGTAACTTAGCTTCTGGCCCTTGTAAAACTGCTGGTGGCCCTCGTGGTCCAGCTGGTGGCCCAGCTCGTGGTCATCGTAGCTGTGCTTGCCGGCCTCGAAGCTCCGCCCGTGGCCCTCGTAGCTCAGCAGGTGGCCCTGGTACCTCTCCTGGTGCCTCTTGAAGCTATGCTGGTGGCTCATGTAGCTCAGCAGGTGGTCCTTGTTCCCCTGCCTTTGGGCTTCGTGGCTCAGATGGAGGTCGTCGTGGCTCAGCAGGAGGCCCTTGTAGCCCTTCTGTCGGTTATCGTAGCTCAGCTGGTAGCCCTGATACCCTTCCTGGTGTCTCTCGTGGCTCAGCCGCAGGAGGCCCATGTGGTTCCACTGGTGGCCTTCGTAGGTCTGTTGGAACCTCTGGTGCCCCTGCAAGTGACCTCCGTAGCTCAAATTGTGGTCCTCGTCTCCCTGCGCGTGGTCCTTGCAGCAGTGCCGCCAGGGGTCCTCGTTACTCAGGTGGCCCTGGTAACTCTCCTGGTGCCTCTTGTGGCTCAGCTGGAGGTCCTCGTCGTCGTAGCTGTGCTTGCATTGCTTGTGATCCACGTCGTTCAGCTGGTGGCCCTCGTCGGTATGATGGCAAACCTGGTAGCTCAGCAGGTAGACTGGGAAGCTCTGCCAGTGGCTCCCGTAGCCGAAGTTGTGGTCCTCGTAGCCCTTCGTGTGGTCCTTGTAGCACAGCCTGTGGCTCTCGTAGCTGGGCTGGTTGCCCTGAAATTAGCTCCGCTGGTGGCTGTTGTAGCTAAGCAGGCGGCCCTAGTACCCTTGCTGGTCTCCTGTGGCTGAGCTGGAGGCCCCTCCTAGTATAGCTGGCGGCCTTCGTGAAAATGTTGGAACCTCTGGTGCCGAATCTGGTGGACTGGGTAGCTCAGCAAGTGGCTCCCGTAGCTCAGGTTGTGGTCCTCGTATGCCTTGCTGGTGGTCCTCGTAGCTGGGTTGGTTGCGCTGTAGGTCCGCTGGTGGCTCTTGTAGCTAAGCAGGTGGCCCTAGTACCATTGCTGGTGTCTCCTGCGGCTGAGATGGAGGCCCGTCGTAATTCAGTTCGCGGTCCCCGAATGTCGTCTAGTGGCCCTGGTGGCTCTCTTGGTCGTTGTCGTAGTTCAGAGGGCTCGCTCTCTTCGTAGTCCACGAAGTCCGACTCGGAACGGTCGGCTGCCAAAAAGTAGGTTCCACGTTCTGGCAACCGGAGTAGTCGCGGGGGTCGTAAGAATACAGGTGGTCAATATCAAAGCAGCTGCCGCAGTCGTGCCGGTAGCATGCGGCGCGGCCGTACTAGTACTCGACAAAGGCGGCGCGGCCTTGTCCACCGGGACCTCCACGACGACGTACTTAGTATCCCCTTCGGGCTGCTCTGTCCCGTCGTTCCTGGCGTAGTCTTGGTGGCGCACTTGGTGGCGTACTAGTGGTGGTCGTCGTTGGGTTGCCGATGACGCAGCTCGTTCTCGTACTCGGGTTGCCCGTTGCGCAGCTCGTTCTCGGGGCTGGGCTGCATGTTACGCAGCTGGTGATAAGACTTCTCGCCAAGGCAGCTGTCGCAATGATAATGATGTCGTTGGGCCGAGGCTGCATTTCAGGCCAGACGTTGTACCCCACACGCTTTTGGACCGTATCTGTTCGCGCCCTGTGCCATTATGCGTGTATGGCATCGGCATCCTTGCCGATTGGCCTCCACAACAAGTCAGTAAGTCTCGCAGCCCTGTAGTAAAACGACTGGCGGTTCATGCTGTAGTCGCGGTACTTATCCTTCTCGCGGGTGTTCTCCCAGTGGTGGATTGTGGTGTAGTCGCAGTTGACCACCTACAGGTGGATGAAGCTGTACACCGAGAGGTTGTTGTAGACGTGGTGCGGCGCAACCGATCGCGGCCGTGCGCTGAGGCCGGCCCCCCCTCCCTGGGACCCGGCGCGCGGCGGTGTGGGGCTGGGGGCCAGATGGCTTTCCTTCTGCTGCTCCTCCTCCTCCTCCTCCTCCTCCTCATTCTCCTACTGCTCCTCCTCCTCCTCCTGCTCCTGCTCCTGATCCTCCCACATTTCTCCCATCCCCCAGCCGCCTCCTCCTCCTCCTCCTCCTCCTCCTCCTCCTTGTCCTCACTCTTTCTCCCTTATCCACCCTCCTCCGTCCCCCTTCCTCCCCCCCCACTCCTCCCCACAGTTCGGACTCGTGTGGCGCCATCGAGCCCCCTGCCTCTTGTGCGGCATGCCTGCGCTGTGACATCTTGGAACCCGCTCGCGACGCAGTGTCCAAGGGATGGGGGGGGGGGCGGACCTGGAACGCCTCCTCGAGCCCCGCCATGGTGATGCACTTCTTCTTGGTGGTCTGCGCGCGCGGCACTCGTTCGATGTCGGCCGATCCCGGGGTGCTGTCGACGTTCAGCCTTCAACGCCCCCGCCAGAGTCGACGTCGCGCCGGCGCAGCACGATGTGTCAGCCTGTGTATTCACAAGCACACACGTGTATGTACACAGTCGGACCTAGGACAGCAGAACGTCCGTCCAATAACGTGAGACCCTCCACCTGCCCAAACTGAAAAGAATTCGAGGGCACCCTCCCCCAGGATGCACAAAAACATCCCCCTAAACACGAAGAACATCAGGACACCCTCCCCTCCAAGCCGAGCCTCGGGCAGACGCAATGTCGCATCCGCCACCGTGCCTCTAGGCACGGAGTGGGCGTGTCATCAGGTCCTTTGCCCAATCCCCTGAGCGTCAGTCCAAAGGGGTTGAGGGGGAGGAGGAGGAGGAGGAGGAGGATGAGGAGGAGGAGGAGGAGGAGGAGGAGGAGGAGGAGGAGGAGGAGGAGGAGGAGGAGGAGGGGAAGGGGGAGGGGAGGAGTCCAAATTCGCAGATCTCCTGGGGCTCCCCGCGGCCTGGCGTGGGTTCCTGGCGCCTCCTCGCGTGCTTTCTTCCGAGCCCCACAAGGGCCCCGAAACGGGCACGGAAGGGCTCCAAGAGGCCGCCAAGACGTTCCCAGAGGACCCCGCGTCGGCGAACGATCGCTCCAGGACGCCCAAGATGCCCCCCCAGCCGGCCCAGGAGGCCGCCCGGACGGCCCAAGAGGCCCCCTATAGAGGCTGCCACAGAGCCCCGAGAGGCAAGCAGTCATTGATGTTCCCGTGGGGCTTCGAAGGTTTCGGGCCTTCTCGCCGTTCTGGCTTTCCAACACTCCAAGACGGCCCAAGAGGGCTCCAAGATCGGAAAAGGAAGGCTCGGAGAGGGCTCCCCGACAGAACAAGAGGACCCCTTATACGTGCCGAGAACCGACCAAGACGGCCCAAAGAGGCCCCAAGACCGTTTCAAGGGGGGCCCCAGAAGAGAACAACGAGGAGAACATTGAAGAGCTGTCCCCGACGAGGCTCGCACAAGGCCCCAAGAGGTTCCCAAGAGACTCCACGAGGTCCCAGGAGGCGCCCAGAGGGCGCCCAAGAGACCCCCGAGAGCCCCAGAAGCTCCAGACCGACCCCCAAGACGCCTCGAGACGCAAATGATCTGCGTGTATCAGGCGTCGGTACCACTGGAGGCACGCAGATGATTATGCCTCGAGCGGAACGTGTCTGGTACCACGAGACGCGTACAGGTGAGGTGCCTGAAGTCACCGTTGTGTGGTGCAACTTCAGGAATCTCCTCCTCCTCCTCCTGCTCCTGCTCCTCCTCCTCCTCCTCCTCCTCCTCCTCCTCCTCCTCCTCCTCCTCCTCCTCCTCCCCCCTCCACCTCCTCCTCCTCCTAGTCGTCGTCGTCGTCGTCGTCGTCTTCGTCGTCTTCGTCGTTGTCAGCCAGGTTGGCGAGAGGCGTCCAACGATAGATCCAAAACGAACACCCAGAAGAGGAGGCCCCGAACCCACAACGCCCAGGCACAGTGGCGGCATGGGGAGCATTTCTGTTACTCGGCGTTTCGACCCTGGGCGGAGAGGGGGGCCACGAGGAGGCCCACAATGAAGGGGCCCACAAACACACAAAGAAATACACACAAATAACAGGATTCCCAATCTTTTCCCATATTTTCTGGGTTTTGTCTTCCCCCCACTTTCTATAATTTCCAATATTTTCTAGGGAATCGACGATTAATTGTGTCTGTGTTTTTTCCCCTCCTGACACAACCCACGACACAGGTACAATGGCGGCATGGTGAGCGTTTTTGTTCCGGCGTTTCGGCAGGGGGCGGAGAGGGGAGGGAAAGGCGGTCTGGCTCCGGACCTCTGCTCAGAGTGCGGCTGCTTGGGGCCGTGCGTCCTGTGGGGGGGAGGCTCCCGCATCGATGTCGGGGGCGCGCAAGCATGGATTAGCGATCCATGGAGTTGGCGCGCGGTCGCCAAATCCATGGCTCGGGGGAGGTGCTCTCCCCAAAGTGCGGCCGGCGCCGCCTCGCTCGGCGGCGGGACCGGCCGCGATGTTCCATGGAAGCGGGGCCTGTCGCTAATCCACGCCCCCTTGATCCTTGCTTGCGATCGCCTGAGCATGGGCCGAAGGCCACCAGATCTCATGTTCGGCCCCCCTGCTTTTTCGTCCTCGTCGGCGGCGGTGTCACCTAGCTCTCTCTCTCTCTCTCTCCTTCCCCTTCGGGGGGTGCCAGAAGGAGCTCCTGGTCTCAAGCGTCTTCAGCTTCCCTGGAGGCCTCCCAGAGGGGGTCTAAACCCTAAGCCCGAAATCCAAAACCCTAAACCCTGAATTCTGAACCCTAGACTCGATGTGGTCGGAAGATAGCGCCGAATCTCCAGTGTACCGCCAATGCGTCGGCGGTGCACCGGCGACGTCGCCAATACGTGTCGGCGACGTCGATCCCCCGACCCCATCTACTCGGTCCCCATCTTGGAGGCCCAGATTCCCGCTCCATTATGGAGCTCTCTGGGCCTCGTGAAGGACGCTCTGGAGGCCGTCTGGGCGGCCTCTCTGGAAATCCTCGGAACACCTCGACTCCGGCACACCTTTACCTTGATTGGCGCCGAGCCCAGGGGTGGAGCGAGGGGGGGGGGGGGCAGGCCTCCCTAACCAATGAAGTCAGAGACCCCGCCCCAATTCAAAGCAATTTGGAACCCATTCTGAACAGTGTGTCTCGGTCCGCATCCTCGCGTGGAGCACGCCTGCAATGGCACCGCGCAGACCGCGTAGGCACTCCTGATTGCCGACGCGCGCGGAGCTTGCGGTTATCTCCGCGCAGTTCAGTCACAGATGACGTCGTTTAATCGTCCCCGGTCGAGCCCAGTGGCCATCACGGCCGTGCGCCCTGACGCGGCGACGAGGTCCCAAGATTCCACGGCGGCGTCCAATTTGAGACTGACTTCTCTAAATAGGAACACATATCTACTAAGAAGAGAAAGCCGTACCCAGAAGCGAATATTTAGAAAACCTGCATCATTGGTTGAGTCTTTTGATTGTTTTTTCTCCTGGCCCGTTTTCATCCAGAGAAAACCTTCGTCGACCCTCCGCCGCGTGGCCCTGAAAGAGGAATGCGCACAGCGGCGGTCACTCTATCCGACGCCGAGGTTGGGCGAGCTGCAATGACGCCCACTCACAACGACACCTTTGGCTTGCGAAAGAAAACCCTGAAACGGGCAAATGATAAAGAACAGGTGTACCGCCTCCGAATCAAGAGACGACCCGAGAATCAATGGGGCAAGATACCTCCAAATTCTCGAAGGCGGGGGCTGGACCTCGGATTTGACTGGCCATTTCCCAAAGGGCGGCGGGGCTTCTCAGAAGCCCTCCGGCCTTCTCAGGAGCCGCAAGAGTCTTCGGAGAAGGCTTGGGTCGGGCATGTCCTCCTACAGGCGGATGTTCGAGGAAAACTAAAAAATATTCAAACATATTCAAAAAGTGCAAATGCTAGAAAAGGTCGTCCCCAGACTATACTTTAATTGTGTTCGAATGCTCCTCCTGTAGAGAGACATGCCCGACTTGCGAGAAGGCTTAGGAAACCCATCCGAAGGCCGGAGGCCTTCCGAGCCTTCGGAGAAGGCCCGCCCCTTCACACTTTCCCCCCCCCCCCCCCCCAGGCACGCTGCTGAGACCTTCCCAGTCCCCCACTCTCGCTCTCGCTCGCGCTCTCCCCCTCTCTCTCTCTCTCTCGGTCCCTCGCTCTCGCTCCGCTCTCGCCCCCCCTCTCTCGCTCCCTCCCTCGCTCGGTCACCCTCGCTCTCGCTCGCTCTCCCTCCGCGGGCTCTCCGTCTCTCTCTCTCTCGCTCTCGCTCTCGCTGCGCCTCTCCCTCCGCGGGCCGGCCCGAGGCTGCAGCGCGCGCCCGACCCCGACACGACGACAGGCCCCAGGGCGCGCCGACCTGGGAAGGCGCGCCGGGCGCGCTGCCCACGACGGGGGCAGGCCGATCGCAGAGTCACGCTGAGGCTGAGGTCCGCCGGAGATCTCGAGGGGGAGGAGGGGGAGGAGAAGGGGGAGGAGGAGGGGGAGGAGGAGGAGGGAAAGGAGGAGAAGAAGGAGGAGAAGGAGGAGGAAAAGAAGGAGGAGAAGGAGAAGGAGAAGGAGAAGGAGAAGGAGAAGGAGGAGGAGGAGGAGGAGGAGGAGGAGGAGGAGGGGGATGACTTCTGGGAGCCGACGTGTGCAGAAGATCGACCGGGGGCCGCGGCCGTTGCAGGGCACGCCGGCACCCGAAGGGCGCGGATCGCTGTGCGCATGTTCTGCCTCGGTCTCGCTGCGGGTGCCCCGGGGACCTCCAGACGCGTGGTCATCCGCCGGGGACCGACTGCCAAAGACGGGCCTTCGCGGCTTCGCCGCACGCACACACACACACACACACACACACACACACACACACACACACACACACACACACACACACACACACACACACACACACACACACACACACACACACACACACACACGCACGCACGCACGCACGCACGCACGCACGCACGCACGCACGCACGCACGCACGCACGCACGCACGCACACGGCACGCACACACACACACACACACACACACACACACACACACACACACACACACACACACACACACACACAATAGACGCATGAGAGAGCACGCAGGGAGGGGTTCACGCCATACGCCGAAGGGGCGAAACGGGACTTCGACAACAAGACATCTCCAGAAGAGATCAAGGCGGAGAAACTCGCGAACTTGGACGGATTCAGGATTGAAAAACCTTGGGTTTCATGAGGAAGCACTTCGGGTCCAGAGCCAGGGCATTCCAGCGAAACACGAGCCGCTTGCTGATGCGCACGTCTCCGCTGCACACGTTCTGTTCTGTCCAGTGTGCTCGTAGATCTTCACGAAGAGCGCACGGGCGAGCACGTCGGCGACGCAAGTAGCTGGCTCCGGCATCTCTGGGTAACAGACGAATTTCACT